GATATTGGTATTTGTGCAAGGGCAAATTTTACCTTTTTAATTAACACAGGGCAAATAAATGTCTGCACTCATGATCAGGTGCAAACAAACATATCCAGTGAGTAATACTGTATTTTTTTACCATTGGTAGCACATGTCTGTCTATGGTCACAATAAATCATATTATAATTATTGAACATATAATCATCCAATTTTTTTCATGTGCACGCGCTTTTCAAATGAACATGTGCTTCTACATTAAAGAAACTAAAATGTCTTGATTTACCTGTGAATCTGCCCGTTTTCATGAAGATACTCTAAACCCTTAACGACTTCTTTCAAGATTGATGCAATAGTAACTTCATCAAGTACACCTCCTTTGCCTTTACCTTGTTTCATTTGGTGTTTTATTATATCTAACACAGAGCCTGTAACAAAACATTTATAACTTTCTAAAATTACTGAAAAACTTCTTCGCTACTGGACATTCATAATTTGGGTAATAAGTAACTGTTACATTCAGTTATAAAAGAAAATAGTGAATTGTAAACAGCAGCAGCAAATGTTCCTAGACTTGTAAAATTTATGAAACTTTAACACACAAACAGTCCATTAATTACTGCCTACTGTATGTTCATAATTGGTAACAGCAATGATTTGACTACTGTATTATGTCGATTTATTTTCCTGAAAGGAAGCCCTAATAGCTGATTTTATATAGAACGCTATACATAGCAAGCTAGTCCACCACTCTGAAAAACAATTCAAAACTGTTATTATATTAAAAAAACAAATTTGAGCAAAACAGCTGCCAAACAACTGCAGCATCACTAATCAATATCAACGAAAAAAAAAATGTGAAAACAATTTACAAGTCTGTCAATTAGCATGTACATGTAAATAGCTTTCAGCCACAGTCAGCTGGTGCGCACACGTGATAATAAAATAAATGCGACATTTACTATATGGGGGCCGCCATCTTGAATGGGGCATAAAACTAAATAAGAGACAAGTTGTGAAACGTGTTTTTCAGATTCCTACAAATCAGGACAAAAATACCAATCTTTCACAGAAATACGATTCATTGGAGTAATATTAAGCCAACCGTTCGGCCGAATTCATCGTTTTTGTGTGGTAAAATCCCTTAAAGTGCCTGTGTAATGCCCGCCCACACATTTCCTATTTTAGATCTGTGTTCCACTGAAATGGGCAGTTATTGATTTTTTGGCTGAAAATTATTACTTGTATCCAAGTAAATTTGTGATATTTCTCATGTTGTAGCCACGCCCACCTATCCTGAAATGGTCGACTGTTTCCGGATTTCCGACTCCACCAAATGCCAAAACATGAGAGAAAGTCAAACCCCTGGGCCGTAATAACACTGGTCATTCAATATACTTTTAAATGCTATACATTTTTCGGTCGTCGTTTTTTTTTTTTTTTTTTGGTCCTATTTTTTTTTTTTTTTTT